AGAAAAAATAAATCAAAAAATCATCACTATTTCCTCCTCCAGGGTTCTAAGACCAGCTTTATTTTATGTATTTCTTGAGGCTGTGGGAAAACTGATGTGTCCCCAGGGAGCTGGGGGAGTAGAGTAAGGCAAAAAAAGGCTTATACTGGTAATTGAGTTTCAGTCTGAACTAGTGGAATATTATTGGACTTGTTAAATGTCACAGGCAGACATTGTTTTTTATGAATTCTGATAAAATGAATCTTTTGTTGTGTGATACTAAGAGGTGGAAGTGGAGAAAGAGAAAACAGAGAGGAGGTGAAGCGGCTCATTTCCAAGATGTCAAAATTTTTGCTTGTAACATACTACACTCACATTTGGTACTAAACGAGCACCAACTTCCATGTTCACTGCAAGGCAGAGCCAAGAGCAGCCAGAAAATTCAAAGGGAAGCTGCTGCCTCTAATGTAAGGCCACTCACTACACTAAAATGAAATTATTGAAGCATTATGAGTTTTTGTCCTGCACATCATCAAGGTCAGACTTTCCCTGCTTGCCCAGCAAAAGCTTCCACAGGTTCCAACATCCAACCTAGGGACAACAGGAAAGACTCCACACATGCTCAAGTCCAACTGGAGGGAGCAAATGCTTACCAGTCAAAACAAAGGGGGTAAAAAAATTCACTCGGACTGGGTGTGCCAGGATTGTAACATGGATGACTTCCTACCATTCTAATCCATCTGCACTCCAGGTGCAACTTGCACACCAGGATTAAAGTAAATTTCAGTTTAATTCACAGTATTTGAAAAGGACTTTGGCACAAGAACAAACTAACTGCTGTGAAACATTTGTCTCCTCCTCTCAGTCTGAGCATATAGAAGAACTTGCTAGAAATGGAGACCACAGCCAGGTGACAGGAAACAGAACTCAGGGATGCAGCAGTTTATCAGTACAATATGAAATTATCCTTCTATTTGAAGCTTTTCAGTCTTTATTCTCCTATGGAAGAGGTCTTTAGAAGTAAGGGAAGTGATGAGAAGATCATTTACAACATGCAGGAGGTAAGACAGACACTCCACATCTCATTCCCTGCAGCATTTGTATGGCATTTCCCCTCTGACTTATGGTACAGAAGCAGGAAACAGCATCGGTAAGTATCACCAAATTGAATTATTACTTTGTAATAACAAATATCTTCAAAAAGCATGAAGACACAGCTCTCCCAGAACCCCCCTGCAAAGCTCAGCCTCCCCCTGACCTTCATAGGCTTGGTGGACAAGGTTGAAGAGGCGCTCAGCCTGGCTCTTGAGCTCGGGGTCGCGGTGCTTGTCGGGGTGGTAGAGCATGCACAGCCGGCGGTACGCCGCCTTCAGCTCCTCCTGGGAGGCCTGTGGAAACCACCAACAATCAACAAGGACGGCCAAGGCCATTGCCAAAAGGCCACTCTCAAAATCAGTCCTGAAAGGGAAGTCTGTCAGCTGTTACGCTGCATTACTTTGGACCAAAATCAAGAATGGATTATTGGTTCGGTATATAAGTTAATAAAATATTCAATTATCACACCAGGATTGTCCACGGTATCTAGAGCGCAACAAGGGACCTCAATAGCTCATCAGTGCATACCCAGGTACAAAAAATTATGTAAAAACCCCACCATTCATGTTCAGACTAGTTGTATTAGGCAACTACCTAATACCTGTATCAGGCAGTTGCCTAATACAACTATATAATACAAGTATTATAGTTGTATATAGTTGTATTAGCTGCCTGACACAACTATATAATACAGGTATTAAATATAATTGTATATAGGTGTATCAGTTGCCTAATACAACTATATAATACAGGTATTATAGTTGTATATAGCTGTATTAGTTGCCTAATACAACTATATAATATAGGTATTCCCCTCCAAATCAGAAGAGCAGGAAACAGCAAAGTCATCTCAGATAAAAATACATAAGTCCAGAGATGTACAACAAATTCTACTCATATTTCAATCTCAACCCTCAAGGGGACACTGCAACTATCCAAAAGCACAGACTTTCCTCAGCTGTAAGGGTAAGAAATGTAAAGCCACGGTTCTGCTCTCATCCCAGCACCTGCCCTGTGCTCCCCAGTGCCCCATTCTGCTCCCCAGCAGGGTCAGTGTTGTGCTGTGAAGGAAGAAGGTGCCTCATCTGTCCAACAAAACCACAGACAGATAACCAAGAGAACACTGTGCCACCAAACACATCACAAACGAACCTGCCTTGTCCTTTACTGCAACCGCTCTGGGACCTCAGATGGCACCTGGCCTCCTTCCAAGGACATGGATGGCTCTTTCAGAATCAATAGGGAAAAACCCCTGCTCCTTCCATTATCATCTCCCAGAAATGTTATTTTTGGACTCTAGAGAGTCTTGGTAATCTCTCCTCTCTCACCTCACCCTGCTATATCCCTTGCATTGCAGTTCCTGTTCCTGCCCATTCCTTGGAGATTGCTTAACACCGACTTTTCAGAAGTGCAGTTGCTAAAATCAACAAGAATTTCCCCCAGGCAGAGCTTGAAAGAGCCCAACCATCCAGTTCCCAAACTGTCCAGGCAAGAACCAGTTCCTGGGCACAGGAAGCCATTCCAGGAGGAACATCCAGAGTAAAATAACCAAAACCTGATGGCCCAGGCTGTCCCCGGGGGCTGCCCCAGTCAGGACCCAGTGCAGTCAGTGAGGGGGGCACTCAGACAGAAGTGGATTTACAGACACAATTTCCATTTATTGTTAACGCCCTTCAGGAAGCAAAGCTGTCACAAGTTCCTAGCTTTCACTGGGGAGATAAAGTTCCTAAAAGGTAATTTCTTGAAGTAACATCTTTTTTACCACTTGTGGCAAGGAGGTTTTCCATCACACAAACACACTCACTTGTGTCACAATGCCAGGAATCTCTTTGGATTTGAGGACAGCTCAGAATGGCTTTTTCTGCATGTTTGTATTGTTGCTTGTTAATGTTTTGAAATGATACAGCAAAAGGGGAGCTGTGAAATTTGCTGGTCCCAAGACAGTAAGGACAGCTACAATTAGCTTATTTCTTTTTACTACCTTGTGCTTTCTCGGATATCAAATTTAAACTCGACTGGGAAGGCAGGGGAACATATAGCCCCAAAATGGCATTTTTAAATCAAATTAATGATAAATGGTTTAATGTGCTATTGATTATATAATAGAAATGAGCAGATTCATTTTTCATAAATGCCATGTTCAATAAAATGTTAGATTGGGCATTTCATCATCACTGAGTAGTTTGGGTCATTGGTTCAATATTCCATGAGCAACAGCCTCTTCAAAACCACTAAAGAAACCCTGACATGGTTTTTAGACTGCCAGGAAATGCAGTCACAAATAACAGCATGTAAGTTACATTTTTATTACCAAAACTCTGGTCAACATTGAAAGGTCTCATTTAACGTCTTAAACACAGCACCGTGTTTTTAGCAGACTAACATGTCTAAAAGATGAATCATTCACACACACACACAGAGCAATTCCTGCTCACAGGATCCTGCCTCCATGGGGTCACTGCAGCTCCAAGCTCAGCTGCCACATCATCCCGTGTCAGCACCCAGACATGCTGCTCACCACTTCCACTACAGGACAGTACTGCTGAAAATAATTACCAAGGGGCAATTAACAAAGCACCTGCTCCTCTCTGTTGGAATTACTCCCTTGCAGACCCCTTTTATTCAGTTTCCAGCTCCCTGCTGTACAAAACCTGAATGTTCTGCTCTGGAAGCCTGGATAAGTTAACCATTAAACCTTCCCCAGCAGTCACAACCCTTGCGCGGTTCCCGCCTCTGTTCTAACCTCTGCACGCTGCTGACGTTTTGGAGGGGAATTACGAAAGCTCCCAAGGAATGTACAAGCATGGCCTTGCCGGCTTTAAACCAGACGAGGCCTTCAAATTTTTTTTTTAAAAGGAGCTCAGCATCAGAGAGTTGTGCAAACAGCGTGACCATCACACTCTGTTCCTTCAGGAACGCAGCTGATTCCTACACATGAGGCACAGGGACTGTCCCTGCAGCTCAGGGGCTGACAGGAGTTCCAAAGGGAATTCTTCCAAGCTCTCAGACTGAATCGCTTCCAAGTCTGGATATCCTATTGCACGGAGCAGTGGTGGTTCAATACGAGCCTTGTCCAGCTACAATGGCCACACCCAGGCTGATGGGCTGGATGGGATTTCTATACATATTTATGCACACACAAATATATGTAACAGATCTATAATGCAGTTGCACTCGCTGAAACAAATTACAGCACAGTTCCTACATCCAGATCTTTGTAGATCTGCTTAATAATTACTATAAAAAAAGCAGTTATCTCCCAATAAGTTCCAAACTGTTCCGGTGTAACAAACCCGCACCAATTAATATCCATCTATTCTTAAAAGTGAAATCAAGGATTCTAGATCTTTTTTTTTGGCGGGAACAACGTTTTGCAGAAAGCCCTGGCTGTTTCCAAACTGGAAAGGTTCGGGAAGCCTCCCGAGCCGTGCCCCAGGGGACGCGGGTGTGCGCGGCGTGCGCGGAGCTGCATCAGGAGCGCCCCGGCAAAGCCCAGACCGCCGCAGTTCGGAGCAAACCCCGCATTTCCCGGCCTCAGCGGGCGCTCCCCCGTCTCACCCAACCGGGAGCCCCGCGGCCCGGCCCGAGCTCTCCCGCCCCGCCGCCGCCAGCAGCGGCAGCAGCCCGGCCCGTGCGGAGGACACGCCGCAGGGGCGCCGCAGGGGCGCCGCTCCCGCCGGGCGCACACGAGGGTCTCGCCTCACCCCGCCCGGCCCCGCGCGGCCCCGCGCGGCCCCGCGGCCGCACCTCACGGCGCACGTTCAGCAGCCCGTAGTAGTCCTCGTTGTCCGGCGCCTCCTCGCCCAAGGCCGCCGCCATCGTCCCGACCTCTCACCCCGCGCCCCACGCTGCGGCGCCCCCTGGCGGCCCGGCGGTCCGACCGCCCGCGCACGCGCGATGCCACCGCCGCTCCCCCGTTCCCCCGGCCCCCGCGCCCGCGCGGCCCGGGCGTGTGCGCGTGCGTGTGCGCGGCGCGCGAGCCGGGAGGCGGCGGCGGCGGCGGAGGCGGCGAAGGGTGAGTGAGGGAGGGACTGAGGGAGAGAGCGAGGGAGGGAGGGAGGGAGCGCGGACCGGCACGGACCGGCACGGACCGGCACCGGCCTGCTCTGCCGCGCTCCGCTCCGGCCACGTCCCCCTGGTTCTTCGCCCCGGCACTCTGACGCGTCTTTGCCGGCGCGGTCGCTCCGTACCCCAGCGGCGGCTGTGGCAGTGTCGTGGGTGCCCCAGGGCCTCCGTCCGCCCCGCTCCCGGGGGATAGCGGGAGGGAGGGCGATCGCGACCGCCGGTGCCCGTCCCCGGTTCCTCTCCCGGTGCCCGTCTCGGTGCCGCAGGGCCCTCGGTACCTGCCTAAAGGGCAGGCGCTCACTCCGGTCATTGACGGGACGTGTAGGTGCAGACTCTGCCACGAGGCCTCTCTCTCCGGTAACAAGAGGGCGATTTCCAAAGCGTGCTGTCACCATCCAGTCGCTGTCCCGTGAGTCGCTGTTCCCCGGCTCCGGCGGGGCTGGCGGAGGGCAGCGGGGCAGTCCGGCAGCCCGGTACAACGGAGGGTCCCGGGGCAGAGCTGCACGGCAGCCGAAGCGAGCCCAGCTGAGCTCAGCGATGTCAGACCCACGACAAGGGCACACCGTGGGCAGAGCGTGTGCGGGTTTGTCACCGGCAGATCTGGAGCAGTTTCCCTTGGATCAATAGCGCTGCTTTGGCTTTTGGCGTAGAGAGCCCCAGTGAACCCTGGGTTTCACGCTGTGCTGCCCTCCCTGGTGATGGGTGAACTCCCCAGGCCCGAGCAGTACCGAAATGGAAGGGAAATGCCCCAAAGTGTGCAGAGCTCAGAGATTTTAGCAAAAGGGCTGCCCAGCTTTAAACGTAAACCTCGTTTAAAGCATGCTGGTGGACAGACAGACTGGGTATTAATGCTGTGATAAGGCTGTCAGGAAGAAAAATAAGCCCAGTGGCTGGATCTGATATGTGTATGGGGATGCTGGAGTGGTTTTTGGGTACTGCTGTCTGTTAAGAGGAGCGTTTGAAAAACCACTCATTGGCACCAGTGCAGCCCAGCATCAAGCTGGAACCACATTCCCATTTCAAAACTCAGCCAGTCTGGTTTGGATTTTATCTTCATGTCACTTTTATTTGAAAATGGGAATGTTTCAATAATTAATAAGTTTTTTTTTTTCTGATACAACGGTAGTTAACAAGGAAGTATTGATTGTGTTATAGCAGTTCCTCTGCACTCCTGGTGAGCGAGGTGCAATGCTTGGAACAAGAGGTGCACAAAGGCTCCCTTTCTGAGAAACCCTGTGGAAATGGGTCTGTTCTGCAGGGAAGCACCTCTAGCACTGCTTTTCCTCAATGAACCCACCTGCTAGACAGGTTTTTGTTTTTTTTTTTTTCCACGTGGTTTAGGAGTCATTGAGTCTGTGCAAGAATGCAAAGGAGATTAGAGTTGTGAGGATGCCAGTTGCCATGGCAACTCTATTTCCCATGGATTTTGATCCTGTCATAATTATGCTCTTTTTCTAACTGATTTGGGAGCTCTGTGATCCTTGGGGATGATTAGTGACAGAGTTACTGGGGATCCTTCCCCTCACCAGATTGATCTGACGCTTTCCTAAAAGACCCAGCTGCTTGTTGCCAACGCTGGCTGCTGTTCCCTTGCATCACAGATGATTCAGGGGAATTTTCTGGGAACGTTCCACAGGTGTCACATCTTGGCAGGGAAATATAGGAAGAGAGAAATACGAGTTTAGGGAGCTAAATATGAACTGTGCTTTCTAAGGATGTAGAGAGAGCTCTTTAAAACCCTGCATTATAACAGAGGAAATGTAACATCTATGGCAAAAAGCAATCTGATGGGAAAAAAGAAGAAAAAAAAAGAAAAGTGCTTGTTTGTGCTTTACTGACTTGCCAAGGTTTGGCTTGGGGTGCAGTATTCCTCTTCCCACACTGGTACTTGCAGGTGGGAAGCTTTGTGGTGCTGCGTGGGGGCACAATCTCTGCAGCAGGAGAAGCAGTCCCCAAGACTCAGGTCCTGGGTTTAGCTGGGCATGTGTTGTCAGACCTGTGGCACCGTGGCTGCTGCTTCAGTGCTCTCCAGTAAGCTGTGAGTAGCCTCACTAGTGGTGATCCACCTCTGCTGTGGCAGAGCCAGAGATGGCAGAGACCTTCATCATGGAATTTCCCCTGTCAAGGGGGCTGGATGGAGCTGCCCTCCGTGTCCCCGAGGGTGGCAGGGACACTGTGAGGGGCAGATTCTCTCAGCGACTGCCATCACGGACTCAGCACTGGGAACCTGTCCCCTCACAGAGTGGGTTTGGTAATATTAACTTTAGTTCCATCACAGCTCAATGGAGGGAAAAACTAGAAAGTGCCATAAATTCAGCCGAGCTTGTCAAAGCTGTCAAATTACCCCCTGACAAAGCTCCTGCCTGTAATGACTGCAGCATCAGCTGGAGGGGATGTCTGTGATGGGGTGACAGCACCAGGGCTCAGCACCGTTACACTTGTGATGTACTGTCATCAGGGGCTCCTGGGCACCACTCGAGGGTGATGCTCTGAGCAGAGTTAGTTTAAAAAAAAATACCTAAAAATGTAAGGGTATCCTTACATCCTGCCCTCTGTTCTCAGCCAGAGTAATGCTGGCTGCTAAATTCTAGTAAAGGTGTTTCTTGGCCCCATTTGTTAGTATTAGGAGTCCAGAGAGATAATGTCTTTGCACGTATAAAAGGTGCTATTGATTTCCTGTTACTGTTGTCCTGAAATGTGCATGGGGTGTCTATGGAGCAGTGACAATCCTCCATCACTAGCTTTATGGGAAAAGAATGCTTATTGAATCTCTTCCCATAAAATATAATCTCCTTCTCCCTTCCAGAATTTGCCCAGCCCCTGTGGGAGTCCCTTATGTTATGTCTTTGAGAAAATTGATTTTTTTTTGTCTGTGCTTTGTATTTAGTCTTATTTTTAATTTGGCTCATGTGATGTGAAGGCTTCCCTACCATTAAACATGCTTGCTCAGTCTTGTATTGCTTCTCTTTCATATAGATTAACACTTTTAGAATGTTTTAAAGTAAAATAAAGATATTTGCCTGGCACAAGTCTCTCTTCTTATTGTGGGAATTTTTTTAGTCTGAGCGAGTCATTGCCCTGCTCCTTCTCTGCAGACAGGGCTGAGGCACTGACAGCTTTTCAGCTGTTTACAGGTAAATTTGGGGTAAGTTTCTGGAGTGAACACACACTGATTGATCATGGCTGAATGACACCATAGCCCAGAGCACAACTTGCAGTGTTGTTTGCTCAAGAAACAAGGTGGTCTTTGAACTTTAACAGTGGCAAAAATACTGTCAGATTTGTCCTTTCCTCTGTGTAGCAAATGACTGACTATGGGATTTTTCCTTTCAGGGAGGAAACGGCAACATGAATTCATAGATGATGAGTAGGATGCCAAAGCCAGAGATGACAGTGCTCTTGAAGAAATGCTGGGTAGAACAAAAAGGTAAAAGGAACAGCTAATTGAGTGCATTTCAGAGCCTGTGGGACTTTGTGGGGTACCTTTCCTCACGAGGCAAACGGCACACCCCCTCAAACCAGAGCTCAGTGTTCTGAATTCCCTCCTCCTCTGTTTTGCATGAAGTCCCAGTGCCGCCTCTCACTCCTGACCTGCTCTCTCTTTGCTCGGGTTTTCCCCAAAGTTGTATCATTATGTATCTAAAGCCCACACAAATCATCCTTTCCAGCCTGTCCCTGCATGTGTGCCCTGGCAGGTGCAGCAGCTCTCCCTGCCCCACCAACCTCTGCTGCCGTGGTTGTGCTGAGGGCAGAAACAGAGATGGGAGCTGCACTGGACCAGTCCATTTGCAGGCAGTGTGATGCTCCAGAGGGTTGGTCAGCCAGCCATGGGCTGTCCTGCTGTGGCCATGCCCCCAGGCAGGTGCACACGGCTGCAGTGTGGGGAGTGTTCTACAAACAGGAGCCACCGGCAGGGCTGAGTCGCTCTCTGCCACTCTGATGCCTTTTACTGCATTTTGTGATAATGCTGTTGAGATGTCCAGAGGAAACACTTCTTATTGGCTCTTTGATTCTGTGAAATTCTCTCTGTGATGGAGGCGTGAGAGTCTACCTGGGGACTTGGGGAGGTAAGAGGCAGATTTAGTCATACCTGCAGAGCACCACGCAGTAGAAAGGCCTTGTTGTGCTCATCCAGTGGCAGCAGAAGTGGCTGAAGCAACTGATGGGGAGCAAGAAAATCTTCATTAGTCATGTAGCTCTCCTTGGGATATTTTCATGCTTTTTTGTGCAGGCTGACTTAAATCCCCCAAAAGTCAGAAGCAAATGTTCTCCTTGCAAGTATTCCAGGTTTGCAGTGATGATTTATCTGCCTGTTGCCCCTGCCTCTCATCTCTCTCCAGCAGCAGCTGTGTGAGGCACAGGGTGTTTCTGGGGCATGCAGAGGATCTTATCAGTACTGTGTAATGGGTTGATATATATATATATATATATATGTAATAGTATCTGCTGGAAATGTTGTTTTCAAAACAGCAATCAGGGAGGAATTACCTGTAGTTCAGGTGTTTGTGCCATTTGGCCAACCAGAGCTCTTAGTCTGCTTGGAGCCTTCCAGCCCGATATGACAAGAGCCTGTCATGGACAGAGCTCTTTGCTCTGCCTGTGTTCAAAATATCTGCTGAATGTACTCGGAAACACTGATTGACTTTTTTGGAATGGTCCTAACTTGTATAAGCTGTTCCTACAGTTCAAATCCATTGTTACATAATTTTTAGTTTAATAGCACCAGAGATGAGTATTTAAGGATACTAAAAATAGTAATTAGCAAGTTTCTGTTGTTGTCAATCCATATTTTGGGAGATTTGATAGTTTTGTTAGTTGTTTTTCTGCATATGTGTATGTGAAGGCTGTTGATATATTTTTCAGCTATTTTCATAAACTTGGATGTAAATCTCTTCTACTCTTTGGGTTTCAAAATTCTTCATCATCAGTCTGGAGAGCTTTGAGTCTGTAAAACTGGAGAACAGCCAGTGCTGGCAGGACCCGTGTCCCTACAGGAGTGCTGGTTCCCCAGAGCCAGGTCATGTTGCCATTCCTTATTCGTCCTGGTCCCTGCTTGGGGCCCTGGCACCCAGCCAGCACAGAGCAGTGGTGGCTACAGCACCCACAAGGCCGGGTGAAATGTGGAATAGGGAAGCTTTACAATATTTGCTGCAATTTTGAGAGCTCAATAGATTTGTTATTTTACTGCTCATGCTGCTAAACATTGGCTCGGGTCAGTCACACGGTGCTGGTGCTTTAAGGTGGCCAGTGGCCACTAGCTGTGCTCAGCACTGCCATTGCCAGCTCCAGCATTGCAACACGTGCTGTCCGCTCAGCAGTGGCTGGAGAGCTCCAAAAGGAGCAGATCTGGCAGCAGCACAATCACTTCTGCAGGCGTTGTGCTTCAGGCGCTGCCAAGTCCTCGCTGCTTTTGCTTCCTTCCAGCACGTGGGATTTGGTGTGACCCTGGGGACAGACAGTAGCCTGCTGGGCTAGCTTGTGGTTTTTTGGTTTTTCTCTCAGTTGTGTCAGCATTCAGGCTTTCAGTTGCAGGAGAGTGATGGGCAATATCTGTTCTGGTTGTCCTGCAGACACTGGCATTGGTGAGCAGTGGAAGGTGGCGTGTGTCACCCCCATGGTGACATGAGCTGACAGAGCTCTTGAGCAAAGGAGCCTGTCTAAGGGAGAGTCACTTTATTTGGGGTCCTGTAGCCTCACTGCTGATTCAAATTCTCTTTCTGAGGTGGAGCTTTGCAGAGCACCTGACTGTTGGTGTTTAGCCCACGTCTCTCAAGCAGTCAGGGAAGGAACGTGAATCACTCTGTATCCTTTGATCTGAAAGTTCAGTGCTAGTCCTTTTCTGTAATTTCTTAGTCACTGTATTTGAAGCTCTTGCCCTCAGAGCTGGAGGCAAGGCAGGAGGAGGAGATGCACTTAGAATTCCTCCAGCTTTGAGATAGAATATTGCATGGACCCACCAAGGCATTTTAGCAAGGCCATGCCATGTAGCAATGGCTGTTACTAGAATTTGGGGCTCCACGGTTTTCTGATTTTGTCTGTGGGGTTTTATTTGGTTTGCTTTAGGTTTTTTCCCAGGAAATTGTGGATGTTTCTGAATAGTACCTGTTAGTTCCTCAGATGAGCTATGAACAACCTTTCACTGCAGCCCTGGGAGTTTTAATCCAGATACTTGCTCTCAACAAACTTGCTATAAACCATAGAAGCGCTTTTGTGCAGATCAATTTTGATATCACTACTGAGAACATAAATTGGAATTTTGATTGTGAAAATTATTGGCAAAGTTTGGTCATGTAGAGCAGGTTTTACAGTGTGTGTGACAGGCTGTTGATGGACATAAGCACAGATCCAGGAGAAGATCCTTGGCTTCCTGTAAATATTCAGGTGAAGTTATGCTAACTTACTGTACATTGTTTCCCTGGCAGAGATGGCCCTTTAGATAAATGTTAAATAAACATTAAATACAGACTGACACTGTCAAAAGGAAGGTACAGCTCACTTAACACTGAAAGTGGCATTTCATAGAGACCTTTTGCAATTTGTAGTTCAATAAAAACGGTAATCTGTGTAGAAATATTCTGTGCTTGCCTATTCTGTCCTTGTCTGCCAGTGCTGACAGGATTGTGTTCCTGGTTTTACCTTCGTGGTGTCCCAGGCTGAAAAACTTCATATTTCACACTCATGAGTTCTATAAATAATTGACATGCCTATCTTAGCAACTGAGGTTCAGCAGCAAATTGTATTATTCTGGAGTAGTAGGGGTTTTCTGCATTCTATACTCCTTTTCATCTTAATTTTCACTTCACTACTGAGAGTGAGGAACTGATTTACTCCACTTCAGGAGAAAAAGTATTATTGTACTGGTATTACTGTTCCAGTCCTTCAGGGGAGGAAGTTCAGGGGAAAGTCAGAACTCACAAATGAACCCATCTCAGTGAAAACGAGTTATTTCTGTGTATTTTCTGCAGCTACTGTTTGGATATATTTCTCATTTTGTACAACTCTCATGGGTAACATGGGAAAGAATAGTCTTAAAGGTTAGACGAGGTTTAAGCAGACCTAGAAAGAAACTGCTCTGTGGCTAAAACTAGTGAGAAAATATTGAACCAGTCATTTTTGCCAATAAGAAGTGTTGTGTACCCTTGCTGGCAGAGCAGAAGGGTTTGTGTGATAAGGCACTGTTGGGCCCCCCAAGAGAACTGGAGCAGCTGCTCTGCCATGGTGCCACTGGGAGCAAAGCATGAGTGACTCTAGTTTGTAACAGTGGGATTTCTTTTCCATTTGGTTTACCTATTCATAAATAATGAATGCAAAAGGAGAAGTCAGGGAAGTTCCTTCTCAGTGTAAATTTATAACAGGTCAAAGCCAAATTGGGATGGAGTCCTTTAAAGATTTGGGATAATGCTTTCAGCAATGATGCTTTTTAATTGAAAGCTCAAGTGCTCTGTGGGTTAATGAACGTCCCTGAGGGAATCACAGGACAGACTTGGATGGGGTTTTGGGCAATGGGCAGTGCTAGGGTGGTGCTGTCTGAGCAAACTGACTCAGGTAAATTTGAATTTGCCTCTGGCTTCTACTTTTAGAATCCATGTGATTTTGAGCACCTTCTGCCTCTGTTACCATCACCAATTCTACTTCTTTGGTTCTCCTGTTGTTCTTCCATTGTTGTCTTCCATTACTTGTTGTTCTGTTCTCAGTGCCTGGGGCTGACAGTTTCATACCTTGGTGACTGATTTGCCTCCCAGATCCCTATTTATTCAGTTATTATAGACAGCACTCCAATTCTAGAGGAGTTGGAAAAGATACTTGTTTAAAAGCAGCAACACAACTTTAGGAGTATAACTTTAGGGATCTTAAACATCTTTCCTGATTTGTTCCAGCTGTAGCTAAAGATCCAATCCCAAACTCACTTGTGCTGAGCTGGGAGCTGTGCATCCACTGCAGAGCCAACGCTGCATGATGGCACTGAGAGTTTGCAGGATTTACTCTTTATCCCTGGAAAGAAGGGTTAAGATATGGGGTGAAGCATTCCCAGAGAGCAGGCATGCTGTACAGCTTGTTACAGGAGGATGACAGCTTAAAAGAAATTAAAAACCTAATCCTTCCACCCTCATTGAAGACTGCACTAAAATTCCAACCGAGAAGGCCACGCATGACAATCACATTCCCTCCTTACACAGAACAACTTGATTGTCTTATTAGAACAGAAAGCAAAGAGAAATGTCCTGGATGTAGTGTAGGAAATTGTCTTTACTAAATCTAGCCCAGCATATATGAGTACTATATATATTATTTGATTTTGCCAGAATTACAAAAACATGGGGGAAAATTGTTAATGTAAGTTGACTACCAGAGTAAATCACAGCCTAATTATTCTTTTTTTCCCCTGGCTAAAATTAGAATTTGATATAGTGGTCAATAGACATTTTC